TCCCCCATTTTTTAAAAATTTGGTTGTCTTTTTATCGCTGATTTATAAGAGTTCTTTATATCTTCTGGATAATATTGTTTTATCAGATGTGTGTGTTGACAGCTTCTTTTCTGAAGAATTAAAAATTATAAGGATCTAAATCATACCATTTTTCTGCCAAACCACCATCCCTTGCATATACACACTGATGGAGGGAACAGGACACAAATACCTCAGTGCCACTGGATGGAGAGTGAAGCAGTACTTGATACCTGCTAAAACTCAAGACACTATTTTTACCTCCACTGTAAGAGCCCAACCAACATTAGACTCTAAGGAAAGCTACATCTGGAGAAATGGCTGTCTTATAAACAGCTTTTGGCCCCCCAGGCTCTGCACCTCCCAAAAGCCCTGTTCTGGTCCACCAGCCTCCTGGAATGGTCAACAGTCGTCACACTCCATTGCTGGCCATTGTCCACTGGGAAAGGTAGGAGGCTCCCAATCCATCCTTCAGTGAAAGAGCAAACAGTGGGGCCTGTGGCTGCTTGGACATCAAAGTTGAGCAAACAGGCCTGGCAGGCCCTGCCTCTCCGCCTACACATCCTGCAAATGGCATATGAAGGAGCTTCCCTGAGGGGGTCATGACTTTCAGCTTGTCATAGCACACATCAAAGTTTGCACCACACACGAACTGGGTACATGGGTTCGAATCAAGTCGCCTAAGAGCGGATACTCAGCCATTGTGTCCAGTTTTAATCCTGTGTTTTCCCAAGTAATTAAGCCTTCTTGCTTATGAACTTGTGACTAAGTAAAGCATCACTGAGAGGTTGTAACATCAAAGTGCCTTCCACCGTCTGTCCATTTTGGTAAAATTGGATTTCTTTCCCTTCTTTAAGAAAAACTAATTGAATTTAGCTGCAGGCTGGGTATATTTGCACGAGCTGGTGAAGGCTATGCTAAGTCACAGTGATCATCCTGAGACCCTATGGCTTAGCCTTTAGCTAGGCTGGGTCAAAGTGCAACACAGAATGAGGCACCCAGACTCAAGCTAAACAAGTGCCTGCAGCATGAGGCTTATAAGAGGCCTCACTATGGAAAAGGGGTCAGCCCCCAGTGACTGTTCCTCAAGTCACTACTACACCCAAGCTGTTACTAGGGCTGGCAAAAGGATCATCCTAGTAGAATGTTGGTAAATCTTTGGCAGAACGGCTACCGAAGACAATGGCCATCACATTACTTGAGTCCTTGATGTCAGAAGTCCAAGTAAGCTTCTTAAGGTAAAGGCTGTGATGCTTATTATCTGAGTTAGCCCAATAGCCTAGCACATTAGCACTAGATGCAGTATAGTTTAAAAAAATGTTTGCTGGCCATGTAAAATGATAACATAAAGGGTATCAGAACAAAGTTCTTCTTTCTTGAAGAACCAAGCTCTCTTTTTTTTTTTGTCTTGCTCATCAGTAAACTTCAATCTAAATTAATACTTAATTCCACTAATTACCTGATTTAGAGTATAGCATGGTCCCATTTACGTAAAATCACACCCACACTGATCAATCCCTAGAGAGAGGGAATTCAGTTGACTGCTACTTTCTTCTCTATATTATTTTTACAAAAACAATAAACCTATTTTCAGAAAAGAAAATCTCTGGTTCAATCCTGATACAATTATCTTTCCTTTTACCAATATGATTTCTGATCTTGATCCAGTTTTAACTCTCCTGTGTACATTTATATTTGTATTTTAATTTGAGTCACTGCAAACCCTTTTTGGAAATAAAAAGAGAGAATAAATTATAAATTAAGTTCCCATACATACTTTAAAAATTTTGTTCTATGGTACTGTATTTTTTATTAAAAATTAAATAAAATAGTACTGTCTTTACTATTCAAAATTAAGCTTAAAAAATACATATATAAATAATAGTTCACAAGATGTTAATCTCCTTAAGGACAGAGACTATTATGATATACCCCTCAGGACATAGGCATGAAGCAGGCACTCACTAAAGGCAGTTGCAGGTGAAATGACTAGATACTCTCAGAACCTCTCTCTTGAGTTTGTGGGCTGACAACATCTAAAGGAGATAAAGATTCTCTGCTTTCAGCCTTGAATCAAGGGGTGCTACTCCTCTACCCCCCTTTCATCCAAGTCTATTTGAAAGGTGGTGGTATTTCAGGCCTGGCCAATATGATTCCAGAAGGGCTTGGTGACTGATAAACTGAGGATCAGTATACTTCCTTACTGGCAGACTTTGGTGGTATAGACATGATCATCTTTCAAGACCACTCCCAAGGCACCTTGCCACTGAGGCCTACTCACCCTGACCAAGATACTTCTGGCATTCTTTTTATTTTTTTAAGATTTTGTTTATTTATTCATGAGAGACACAGAGAGAGAGACAGAGACACAAGCAGAGGGCGAAGCAGGCTCCATGCAGGAAGCCTGACACAGGACTCGATCCCAGCACCCCAGGATCACTCCTTGAGCTGAAGGCAGACGCTCAACCACTGAGCCACCCAGGCATCCCGTAGCATTCTTTTTTATCAGGTTCTGTTTTTCCTTTTTCCATAGCACTTCTTACCTTCTAATATGGTATGTAGTTTACTTATGTATTTATTGTTTACTGTCTGTCCCTGCCTCTCTCTACACACAGACCACCACTAGTATAGAAATGAGCTCTATGAAAGAAGGGATCTTTGTTGAGAACAGTGCCTGGCAAACCGTATGTGCCAAAAAAAATTATGATATGAATAAATTTAAAAAGTATACTACCTTCAATTAAAATTTGTCCCTAGGCATTGCAAGAAAGAAGACACAATATTGGTGTTTAAAACACAAATAATTAGTCCTAGGAACCAAAACAAGTAAATACAACCTAACACTCTCACTTTTCTCAACATGGATCACTGATTTGCTAATCGCGCTGGAAAAAGACAAAGCAATCAGTTAAGCCAACAATTCACTGGAGTTAGGGGAAAGTGAAGCACATCTACCAGCTATCTGCGCACTGAGTGACCACTATCTTAAGTATAGTGTTATTTCCTAGTCTGTCTCAATGCTGAAAGTACTACATATAGAAATGATAGACACCCCCTTCCCTTTCCTCCACCACCTGCTTGCTGTCTCTTGTGGATGAAGATACCCATAAGCTAGGAAAGAAAACTGGTGCCTAGGGTGGAGGTAGTGGTGGTGGGTAGAGTTAACAATGGTAGATTAAACACACATTTGTGTGTAGAGATGTCACATGGGCAACAGAGAGTAACAACTAATCATCAGTAACAGGTATCACCTACACTATCTCACTGGGTTCTCACAAAAATATAGCAAGAATATACTCTGCTGCCAGATTCAGTCCCTTCATACCCTCTGCTTTGATAATATTCTGTCCACATGGCTCTGACATCACTGGTTACACTATACTCTGTCTCTCTATCTGCCTTTCTTTTCCACATTGGACCTTCAGCTCCCAAGGTCTGATTCTCCAGGGATTAGCAGAGTCTGGCTCAGAGTAGATATTTACCAAATGTGGCAAATTTAACTCCAATAAAAAAAAATTAAATTAAAACTAAAAAAAGATATTTACCAAATGTTCATAAATGTAATTGATTTCAGGTGAAGAAAAAGGGTACACACAGAATTTTGAAATTCAACTAAGGGTCAGAACCAGGACTAGATTCCAGACCACTCAACTGCAAAGCCTATTTACAAGTTATTTTTTAAATGCTTGTAGCTAAAGAGGCAAATAAGGAAATGGAGCTCTGAGAACAAGTTCAGGACAGAGGAACACAGAAGAGAAATCTCAAACACAGTTAAGCCTCTCAGCCAGTCCAAGGCAGTACCACCTCTATATTAGAAAATCCCTGTTTTGTTGGTTTCCATCACATTTATGACCCTTCCAAAGGAGGCCAGTAGTGGCAGACAAAAGCTTTAATGATCTGCTTGAAGGAAAAATTAAAACTGGTACCTCAAACTATCAATTTTGGCTGCTACTAACATGCCCAGTCTGTTTTCTTTGAAAGCATTTCTTTTTGCTCTTAATCAATTCTTTAGCATAACTACAGTTAGAGACTGGGATGGAGAGGTAGCATCCAGGATCTGGCAAAGGGAGGCAGCAGTGAGGTAAAGTAAAATACAAATTTTGCAGGCAGCCAGACCAAATTCTTTTTTTTTTTTTTAAGATTTTATTTATTTATTCATGAGAGAGAGAGAGAGAGAGAGAGAGAGAGAGAGAGAGAGGGGCAGGCAGAGGCACAGGCAGAGGGAGAAGCAGGCTCCATGCAGGGAGCCCGACATGAGACTCGATCCCAGGACCCCAGGATCACACCCGGGGCTGAAGGCGGTGCTAAAACGCTGGGCCACCAGGGCTGCAGGCCAGACCAAATTCTAACCCCTATCTGCGTGACCTCAGACAAATCACTTTATCTTTCTGGGCTTCAGTTTTCTCAGCTGCAAAATGAGAACTTTGAAAATTGTGGCAGTTGTGAGAATTGGAGATAAACTTTCTATGCATAGGGGGACTATTTTAATCTTTACAAAATAGCTTCCCCCTGAGGGAATGGGGGGGTGGACAGGAAAAGAGCAGAGCCTCCAATGGGAGGGAGGGAGTGCCTTCCCCTTCCCTAGTTTTCATCAGAACCTCCAAAGAAACTGTCCCAGTGGGGACAGTGACTAGACTCTTCCACATGGACAGATAACGAAAACATGAAGGGAACTCACACATGTACCTTCAATCACTTAACACAGGCTTGCAAACATTTCATGGCTTCAATAATGCAAATGACTTCACCTAATGTCACAAAGCAAATGAAAGATGGAGCTAGGATCCAAAGGTTTATCTTCCCTTTCCACATCTCCTATACTTTCCATTGCACCAGATGTAGACCTGACCTTCTACTCAGTCCATCACCTTGCCTCTTGGGGGAAGAAAGCAAGGAGAAAGAAAAGTGAGGGGGAGAGGGTTCTAGAACGTGGCCTGCAAGGATCTGGCTAAGGTACCCCTGTGTGGAAGAAGATCTCTCACCTGTCGTTTCGGCTGATGGCTGCCACCATAAGTGCTGTCCAGCCAAGTCTGTGCCTTGCATTAACATCTGCACCTTCTGACAAGAGCCTAGAAAGAAACAGAGGAATATTTTCAGTATATGGCTTATCACAGAAGTAAGAGTGGAAAAAAAGAGGCAGTCAACAAACAGGGAGGCTGGATGAATTTGAAAATGGTCAGAGGCCTTTGAGAACTAAGTACTCACCCTAGCTGCTCTGGCCTCTCTCCTTCCACCCCAGGCCTCTCCTATCTCTCACTCTTCTCTTGAATGAGTCCAACCCCTGTTGTTATCTTCCCAGCCTTCTGAGGAAAGAATGTGCCTTCTCTACCTTAATACACTGACACTCCCACTCCCTTGGTCCAGAATGCTCTTTCTGTGATTCTTTGCCTATACTAATCCTACTTGCATGTTATGGGGTACAATCCTGGTTTGAGGATTCCCTCCTGAGAAGGCTTCCTTGGATACTCCAGTCCAAAGATCTCTTTTCTGTCCTTAGAATTTCCCTATGTTTAGCACTGAATGCCCAATGACATTGCTTACCTAGGTAGTTAACAGTTTATAAAAGGATCACACTCCTCAAGTTTCTCTATATGGTGGCTGTTTGGAAACTGAGAATCTTTTTTTTTTTTTAGATTTTATTTATTTATTCATGAGAGACACAAAGAGAGGCAGAGACATAGGCAGAGGGAGAGGTAGGCTCCCAGTGTGGAGCCTGATATGGGACTCTATCCTGGTAACCCAGGATCATGCCCTGAGTTGAAGGCAGATGCTCAATCACTGAGCCACCCAGGTGTCCCAGAAACTGAAAATCCTGAACCCAAGGAGAGATGGAAAGAATGTTAGACATGCTAGATGAGGGGCACCTGGGTGGCTCAGTTAAGCATCTGCCTTCCGCTCAGGTCATGATCCCAGGGTCCTGCGATCAAACCCCATGTCAGGCTCCCCACTCATCGGGGACCCTGCTTCTCCCTCTTCCCCTGTCTCCTTCTCCCTCTGACTGTTCACACTCTCTCTCCCCGTCAAATAAATAAATAAAATCTTTCAAAAAGCAAAGCAAAACAAAGCTAGATTAGGTTTCTAGGAAAGCCCACAAAAGCCTATTTGACTCTCTATGCCAGTGCCTAGCACAGAGTAGGAGCTCAAGTTGTTGGATAAACTAACAAACACAGGGCTTTAAAAAAATCACTAAAATCCTGCATTCTGGGTCCTGGGAACAGGGGGCCCTACAGGGTGGGGGTGGGCAGAAAGAAAGGGAGTAAACAGAACCAATTCTTACTGAGCACCTATTATAAGCAGGAACTGCCTTCAGAACTTGATACACATGCTCTTATTTTATTCTTCACACAAGCTTAAAGCATTGATATTAATTAACCTCTTCTCATGGATGAGATGACAGGTTCAGTGAGGTGAAATGACTTGCTGAAGGTCACAAAGTTAGCTAAGGGGCAATCAGTGACTGAAGAAGTTCAGGTTGATAATGGCTCTATAGCCAGAATCCTTCTCACCTCACCACCTTTCCTCCAGACTGAACCTGGCTCCATGGAATATGGAAGACAAGAAACTCACCTGACTTTAGCAAATCATTGTATGTGCTTGGTCCTGTTCTAGATTCTGGGGTGAGAGTGAGAAGACACAGAGTCTGTCTAGGGAGTAAATGATTTAGTTGTGGAGAGAGGACTAAGGATAGTAGGAAATCAAAACCTGGAGTGTGTGGTTTTCCATCAGAAGTGCTGCAGGAAGCCAGGGGAGGGGGAGACCAAAAAGCTAAAAGCAATTTACCAATGCAGAACCTGCTTATGAGGAATGGGTGGAGGGTGTCTGGGGAGGCTAGGAGGCACCAAATGAAAGGACACCGGCAGAGTCTGGAGGCTTGGAGCTGAGTCCTAGCACCACTCTTGTGCCACAATCTGCACTAATTGCTCATCTGGACCACGCCAAATAAAAGCTCTGCACTGAAGAAAGCAGGTGATGAGGGCCTGGGAAGAGGAGCCACAACATGTCTGCATTCATTTGGCCTGTGCTGATGCAAGGGAGTCAGGTACTGTCAAACCCCAGGGGGAGACAGGCCAGCAGGCACATAAGGATGCATTGAAGGAGCATTGTGAATGGAGGCACGCAGGCTGCAGGTGCACACCCAGGGAACCTAACCCAGTCTCAGTGACCTGGAAGGCCTCCCTGAAGAGGTGATGCCAGAAAGTTAGCCAGACAAATGGGATCAAGGGAGGGGAAGGAGTATGTCAGTCAGAAGTAAAGCCTCTCACCCAGAGAAGGCAGCATGACTGGACCCAAAACGTGAGGTAAGACTGTCAAGAGAGGAGGTTAGGAAACCCTCATCTCTAACCTCTAATTTTTCTTCTGGTGACACTCCTGGGCCTCTTTACCACACACACAGTTAAGCTTCTTTTTGCAGAAATAATTTTCTATGGCCAAGAATATTAAAGGACTAAGAACTCTATGAGACAAAAATCTCTCTTTGCACAAAACCTCCTTCCTCATTTAAAAAACCTTCTCTGGTTTAGCAGGTGCCATGGAAAGTGGATGTGTCTGAGAGTCTGGAGCCTGGAGTTTTGATACTGTGATTCTGATCAGATGGCCTCATTTCTCTGGTCCTCAGTCCAGAAAGCTAGAAAATCAGGACCAACTAAAGCAAAACAAAGAGGTTTCTGAAGGAAAAGACATGAAGTGTGCCTTGAAGAACAGGAACAGTTTAGAAACATAGGAGAAAGAGCACAGCAGTCAAGATGAAAGGAAGCAGGGAAGCAATGGGAAGGTACATTCAGAGACCATCAAGTAGATCCATCCAGGTGACAGTTGACAGCAGAGAAATAGGCAGCTGCCAAGGTATGCAGAGCCTACAAAAAGATCACTAAAGCCAAGCTAGAAGAAGGCCAAGGCAGTGCGTGTCAACCTTTTTTGAGCCACAGGCTTTACTCTCTCCAGAAAAGTGCATAGGAACACACATACTCAAAAAGAACGTTTAAATTACACACAATGTCCAGGAGTTCAAAGGTCTTCATGAAATCAATAACAGAACTTAGGTTAAAAACCCAATCTAAAAGGCTGACAAATGCCTGGCATGCATGCTACTGTCCTGCACTCCTGTGGAGCCTTTGAAAAGCCTCAGAACTCTCAACGCTCATTCCAATCAGCCATCATCAATCAACTAAAACTGGCAACAGAGAAGAAACCTGTTTGGCATTCCTTAGCCTCTCACCACAGGCAGAGGGGTTGTCACTGAAGGTTTTTTGGGGAAAGAAATTATAAAATTAACCTGATAGCTTAAGCAAGCTGAATCTGAAAGAGGAGAGAGGAGAAAGTGGGGACAAGAAGACAGTTTGGGAGCTGCTGTAATACAGACCAAGGGAGACAAACCAGGACAGGAAAATGAGAAAGGAGGTCACGGCCAGGAGACATTCAAGGCAGTTGGAATCCCTCCTGTCTCCAGTGGGTTAGTAACCCATGTTGCCCTGCCTGGGCCCTGAGAATTCTGGAAGCAGCTCTGCTCTGGAGGCAGGGCGAAAGAAAGAAAAAGGATAGAGGTGCCTTCTCTTCATGTCTCTTGAGGGCTGAGTATAGTGTAATGAAAAAGATGAATAAAGGACTCTGGAATAAATTAGACCTGGATTCAAATTCTAGTATAGCTAGATAATCCTGGGCAAATCAATTTTCTGAGTCTGTTTTGTCACCTTTCAAATAGGGACACTAACTTCTAATTTGCTGGGATCCCAGCCAAGTACCTAGCATACAGCAGGTGTTCAATACAGGGTGGCTTCTGCCTGCCACCTTACCCTACACTTCCACCCCTTTAATGGACAAAGTGTTCTAGTCTGAAGCTGGCAGTAGCAGGTTGGCCAATACCCAGGGATTCTAAGACAGGGTCAGATAGGATGACCTGGGTAATTCATCCAGCCTGGCTCCAGGCACTCCTCTATTCATCTATTCAACAAATGTGTACACATCTACTCTGTGCCCAGCTGCATGCTGGCTCCTGAGAAGAATACAAGACAGAGGTTCTTGCTTTCCAGAACCTGAGCTAAGCAGTATTCTCTCTCTTGTGTGTGTGTGTGCGTGTGTGTGAGAGACAGAGATACACACATGCATATACATGTATTTGTTTCTTTTTTTTTTCACAAATAATTGCATTTCAAGATAAACGCAGACTGCTAAGTATACAGTAATTCCATTTTTAGAAATTGCTCTATAATTCTCCAGGGCACATTCACCAGATTTTCCCCTCTTTATTCTCTCAGAGATACCCACTCAGGCCTCCATCTCCCAGCCACCAAAAGCAATGTTCAAAGAACATCCTCTTACATGTGCCCTTCTGGCCTGATGTATTTCTCTGGGGCACGTACTTGCAGTGGGATCCCTGGGTTTTAGGGTTTATATTACTTGGTTTGACTGTATTGTGCTAGGGTCCTCTCCAGGACATCTGCTCCATCTACCCTCCTGCCAGCAGGACAGGGGTGTTCCTGTGTACTGCTCTCCCAGCCAACACCTGGCAATTACCAGCTTCCTACTGACTGCAAGTCCAATAGGTTTAAAGGGATCTCACATTATTGTCTTAGCTTACGTCTCTGATAAGCAACAATTTTGGGCTAATTGTTTATAAGAAAATGCCCATTAGCATTTAGAGGTTTTCCTTTTTCCTACAGTGCATGATTTTAAGAGGACTGCTGGGAAAGAGAGCTTTTCTAAACTTGCTATCCTGTTCATGACCAGAGCCAAAAGAGCAGAGAGCAGGCAGGCAGCCTGGGCTCTAGTTCCAGGGCTGCTGCTTCCTACTCTTACATGCTAGGGAAAGTATCCCATTCTAAGCTTCAGCCTCCTCATGGGTCCATGCAGGTTTCAGGAGAGGACACAGAAATCTGAAGGGAAGCCCTCCACCAACCTGAAGGGTCACGTCTAGGAGATAAGTCTCAGTGTGGTGACACTCCAGCTTTTGAGCCCTACCCAGCATCCCGACTGAGCATCATTCTTTGCAGAGTCCTGGGGCTCAGGTATAATGGAAAAAACAATGATGCTGGAGTCCAAGCGCTGGAGTTCAGAACCTCGCTCTGTTGCTTAC